CACCAGATAAAGAGAGATAGAGATGACGAGTGAGAGAGAGAGAGAGAGAGAGAGAGAGAGAGAGAGAGAGAGAGAGAGAGAGAGAGAGAGAGAGACACACAGAGAGAGAGAGAGAGAGAGACGGAGAGAGAGAAATGACAGACGAAAAGTCAGTCAGGAGAAAATTACACTTCTTCCTCGAAGCCAAGGAGAAGCGGTCGCTGGTCGTTACGAGCAGTCCCTTACTCTGAGTGAAAAGGGGGCTCGTCGGATGCAGGATGTTCATGCGGCAGTCCCACCAACCTACAACGATACGTGGATTGTCACTTGTCATCATGCAAGAGAATCAAAACGGCACAAAAAAAAACTGCATCTCAAGAAACTTATGAACAAGTAAACAAGGGTTCCCCTTCTCTTCATCCTCAATGTGGGCAGTGAAGACGAGGTCAATACCACTCGAGCTCGAACCTCCATCTCACTAACCTTGCTCTTCTTGGTCGCCTCAAAAAAGGCGGGCTGGTCAGGCAGCTCGGAGTACCGCCCGTGTCCGTTCGAGAGGTTGTCCTATTTACTCAAAAAAACAACATCAAGGGGGGGGCGTGTGAATCTTGTGTATATGCGTGTGAGTGGAAATAGAAACACATCCACACGGGGGACGGTATCGTCAAAACAACGACGATTTGTGCCCAAAACGCAAACGCATCCTCGCTGGATCAATCGAACTGCCGAGGTTTCCACAGGAGGAGGCGGTGTCTATTCTCTGGGGTGCCTCTCCTCGAGAGCAAAACACAGCGCAACGTGCGTGTTCTGTTAGTGGCGCCGGGGGGGGACGGAGGGGGGACAACCTGGAATACCTCGAGCATTCCGCTAGGTGAAACATTTTTCCGGGTTAAGCCAATTTTTTTGAGGGTCTTAAGACAAGAAGCCAAGCTGGATTTCTTAGCAGGGTGTAAGTTGCTTTAGGGGTGAGTAACCCCGACGATTCAGAATACACACCCACGGGCAGCGTCGTGGGTCGAATAAAGCAGTAGACATGGTCGTTGTCGTCCGCGGAAAATAAGAGCCAGTTGTCGGGGTCAAGGCTCGATGTCTTATGTCGTTGCTGAACTTTGAGCTACGCAGCATATCCCCCTGAAAGGCACGATGGGCGTGCCTTTCAGGGGCCTTGACGCGAAATAGCAGTGACAACACAATTTCAAGCCAAGCCCGGCGTTTGCCGAGAAGGTGCGCGTATCGAATCGTGATTCCTCACTGCTGCGGCAACTTGAGCTTGTGTCCCAAGACACCACCCTCGCCCTCTCAGTGCGGTAGCCAGCTGCTCCGCTATAATATTGTTCCGTGTCCAGGGAGCAATGACGAATGACTTGAATTAGGGTGCCTACAACTGCAAGGAACGGCCTCGATCTCTCAATTTCGCCGACGTCTCTCACCGAGTCAGACTGCTTATGCAAGTTTATTACGAAAAAAGACCGAACAAAGGAGGGGGCACGCAGACCGTAACCCTAACCCCGACTGAGCCGATCCTATACTGTATCCAGTATGCTTGCTTGCCTAGAAGGACCTGCGTAGACTACCGACCGAGCCACCAGTCGCGTTTTTATTGCCTCTCCCCGTACCCTCACCTGCTTGATCTTCTGGGCGGCAATGAGCTGCGCCTTCCGCTTCTCCCTAAGCTTGTCCAAGTCGTCCTCATCCATGTTGTCCAGCTTGGCCAGTTTTGCGTCCTAGGACGGGGACGGGACGTTCGTTCCGTGTTCCGCATAAAATAGTTGAGTGTCGTATGCATAGACCAACATTGACATCGGCATTGACCTCGTCGCGTGTTGCTACAGCAGTGGTCCCGCCATATAATGTTGGTTGCCCTGCACAATGCCGGTGTTATTGCTTAATCGTCTAGCTCAGATGGAACATTCAATTTGAAAAATGCCGGTTGCCCGCGATGGTACCGGGGCTAGCACCTACCGGCCTTATCCACCACTACTGCTGTAATACGCTGGGGGAACCCCTACTACCGTGGATGGCGTCCTGTCAGCCACAGGCTACAGCAAGAGCCCTCAACAGGAAAGCCCTACGGCTGAGTCATGCTACGGTAGGTGTTACCCAGACACAGAAAAGTCCCCGCTGGTCAAAAATGAAGAAGTGCTGAGGTATCTATGTACGGCGCCGAAAAGTGGGACGCCTGTTAGACTGCACCAGAAGGTACATTTTCCAGCACTCGGTGATTGAAAATACCCGCAATGTTTTTCACACGAACTCGGGCGTTGGGATGTTGCGAATAGACTTCTCGGTGTAATGCTACGGCAGCCTACGCTGTTGGTTGACACCAAACCAAACTGACTGTACCCGAAGATGACCCAAGATAACCCCCCCCCCCCGTGGACCGATTTTCGAAGCTCGAATACTCCACAGTAGAGTGCCATAGTGCTGAAAATGGCGTCGCTGGAACCGTCTCTTCGAGATCTTTCCGACAACATGTCATTTAATGTTGGCATCCTCTTCGTCTTGGAGGAGTCGCGCGTTGAAAACTGGCCAAAAGGGGGTATGGTATATTACGTCACCTACGGTAGACAGCAATGTCGGAGAGTAGCAACGCAAGGTTCCCGCAGCAAAGGCAGTGGTAGATTTCTTGTGAACCTCTACTCCACAACGCACACGTCTCACCAACTTTTGCTCCGTTTCCTTCGCGTGATCCAGGATGGCCTTCCCGGCCACCTGCTGAGCGATAGCTTCCATGCCACCGAGATTCATGATGTCGTCGTGTAACAGCTCGCCTCTTCGTAGATTTTTAAACTTGAAAGAGGAGAGTGTTCAAACACTGCTCGGTTCGGCGTCCTCCTTTGTGTTACTCGTACCGCAGCGGGTAGATGCCAGTACCCTTCCGTAGTAGCTAATGTGGTGAAAGTTGGGGAACAAGAGGGGTGCACAGCCGTCCCGTGGGTTGCCGTTCTCTTGTTGTCGCACAAGTTGTTGCTTGTGTGTTACAGCAGTTGTTAGCTCTCCGCATGGGGGAGTCGGGGAATCATTTTGTCGGAGCTTGGCGGGGGGGGTACACACGGGGCTGTGGGAGGCGAGTCAGAGATACCATTGACATATCTAACAGCTAAAACATGTCGTAGAATCGTATGTGCAGCACGCAATGCCCAATCCTACCACATAGATCAGGACCCATTGATGTTCAAGCTTCAATGAAGGCCAGACACACATTCAACTACGACAGGCGTGACTTGGCTCATCGGCCTTCTGGCGGTTTCAGATTTTTAAATGTTTCCGACACGCGCCCTCGAGTGAGCGACGTTTACACGGTTTACTTCCGATGTGTGAACAATGGGATTTCATGTGCCCGAAAGGAATTGCATCACAATCTTTAGGATCACAGCAGTATCCCCAGTTGGACTAGGTAATTGAGTCGTTGTCAATCACCCGCCGAAGTGAGCATACCAAAAACGCACCCAATAAAGAAAGATATTTAACGTCCATCCCCGTATTCGGCGCGCAGAAAGCTCCGGGTCGACGTGGAATAGCTTTTTTTTAGTCGAGGTCGGATACTGATCCAAAGTGTACTGACCATTGAAGTTCATGGACCGCCGCGGAACCTGCGAGAACCGAAAGTAGAACCCTCTTCGTTGCCACTACCGTCAAGCGGAAATCACCCAAACAACACGTGCTTCTCCTACGGCACCACCAGCACCACCAGCACTACTGCTGTACAATCATCAACACCAATGGCACAACATCATCATCCGAGATCCGATACCGATCAGCGTCGAGATAACTCTTCGAGACATAGGAGGAAACGAAGCATGGCAACCCTGTCAAGCCTTCTGCGATCTCTTGGATATCTCCCTTTCATAGTCTGCACCGATAAAGTTATCCCGCTTGCGCTTGCTGATAGCGATCGGAGAAGTACCAGCAGCAGCATGGAGGCAAGAACAGGGTCGTCCTTGGACTTTGCCGTATCGGGAGCGGGGGATCGACTGGAAGGGCTGATGATCACAAGTCTTGGTGGTCCTGCTGCTACTGGGAGCGAGACACCGACAGGCAGAAGAGAAGAACGATCCGAGGACGACGGCGAAGGTCACGCAGCGGAGCGCTCGGCCGGCTTTGTGGTCGTAGAAGCCCGGAGTCCTGTGAGTAAATATCTTGCAAAACTCCCAAACGGCAGTATGCATAGGAGTGACGCTGAGCAGGTGTGGTGGTGGCAACGCAATGAAGCGGACACATAGGAGGGTTAGCGGTGGATACATAGCGTTGGATACGTGATACGATGAACACATATTCATACCGGTGCTTGCCGCTGCCGGTAGAGTGACCAACTGGCTGGACCCGATAGTTTTGTGCTTCCCCACTGTGTTCGTCCTGTTTGAAGGAGGCGACGGGAGTTGTCAGCGGTGACCTTCTGGTAAAGGTCAACGACATCCCCCTATCTTCCATCTCTCTGAACGAGTGGATCGAGCAATCAATGGCGACAATCTTGGCAACGCATCAGCCCGCGTCTGATTCTTCGACAGCCAGGTACTCTTGAAATTGTTTGTCTCAGATTAGCGTTCTGTGTGTGGCTATAGTTCGTGCTTGTGTGGGCGTATTCGGAGTCGCTATCCGCTGTTGATCAAGGTGTTGCGGCGGTACTAGGTGTATTCTCGTTTATCATACTCAACGTGCAGCTCGCGTTTATCTGAGAAGTACGTTTATTGCCTCTCACAGCACAGTATTTCCTAAACATGACGCGATCGCACGATAGGGCGTCAATCGCATGAAACAGTCGGTTCGCCAGGTGACAAAGGATTTCACCACCATAAGTTACGTGGCGCCTGCGGTCTCACACATCCCAGGCTCCGCCACCGTCACTGTAGCTTTATTCGCTCACTTCTCCGTGTTAGATAAAGACTTATCCACTATGCTACTCAGCGCTGACTGAGTAGCTAGTGGATAAGTCTTTATCTAACAACTAACACTCCTGCTACCGAACCACGCTCAACACGGCTTCATCATTTTTTCTTGACGGCCTCTCGCACCGCAAGGTTGGCGATCTTTCCGTTAGTGGACGTTACCAGCGACGGTGGCGGCACAAGCACGAAACATCCGCAATCGCATCCAAGTAATTCTTCCGCTTCCTCGGACGACGGTTTCGGCAATCAGCGGTGCGCCGCCGCACAACTCAACGACCCAATGTGCATCGCGCTAGCTTCTGGCGAAGGACGACCCACAGCAGGAGCAGATGCAGCATCGCCGCCAGGAACCATGGAAAATACGGCGGGATTTCGTCTCAAGGGTTTCCTAAAAGTTGAGCTGGTGGGCCTGGATGGGGCTGAGGTTACGTTTCGCCCGGGAGAGGCGCGGATAGCTGAGCTAATCAAACAAAGGAACGACGCTGCAGCGGCAGAAAGAAAGGTCAGACACGCCAGGGAGAGGGACTGAATGATACGGCAGGAGGCAAGAAAGCATGAGTTATTGTGTAAGAGGACTAAGTAGACACTAAAACCTGCTCACCTCTCGAAAACCAGGGACAAAGGCGAAACGTAGGCTAGCTGCACTTTCCTGGTGCCCACGTCGATGGTCTAGGCCCACATTGCTTCACCACCGCTCTTCCACACGTTGGCTTGGTTTCTGAGACGTTGCTTTCAATTCAATCGGCACCAACAGAGTTTTGCGACGCTTTTGTGGTTCGGACGTTCTGAGACGTCGAGGTCGCATCAACCGGCAACAACCCTGTGTTTCGACACGTTGTCGTCCGGACCTTGTGAGACGTTATTTTCACATCAACCTGCATCAACAGAGTATCGTGACGCTCTGTCATTCCGAACGATTTCCGTAGGAGAAAGAACGCGCCCTCGCAGAAGCGAAGGCCTTGCTCGAGGCCGCTAAAAGGGAGAAAGAGGAAGAGGATAGGAAGTTGGAGGCCGCCGCAAAGGCGAGGGAAGCGGAGCGAGCGAGAGAGCAGGCCGAGATAGACAGGATAGCGAACGAAAAGCGGCAGGAGGTGAGGTGAAAAGCAGTCGGTCTTCGAACACCTAGCTTAATACCAGTAAGCGCATTAGGTGAGAGCTTCGGAAAATGAAACCCGAGGGTGCTCTGGACGGAAAGAGGTTCCAGTTCCTCGGTTGGCAACGTGTTCTCACAAGTTGCAGTGATGTGATAATATAGCATATCACTACGGTCCCCGCGTGATATCTTGCCTTTGGTCTGCCAGGAAGCGAGGGTACGACGAGAGGAAGAGGCGGCCAAGCTTTCGGCCGAAAAGTCAAAGAAGGACATGGCCAGACTGCGCAAGGAGGGGAAGGAGTTCACGTTCACCGCCGAGTGAGCGCCCTAATGTTTTCGTGTCGTCTCACTTATTCTAGACGTCGGGTTCTTGTGGTGTTTTCTCTGGATGCACCAACCGAGGTCCCACAGGGAGACAAGAAACAAGGCCACGCAGGGTTTCTCTCTTGTTAGCTAAGCGAGCGAGACTGTTTCTTTTCTACACCCTTTGGGAATAGAAAATGGCAGTGATCCCAGAAGCAACCTCGTATGACAGTTAACCCCCCCGAAAGCACTGGCGGTTAGGAACATCGCCCAGGGTGCGGGCTGTTGAGCGGTCGATAGCACTTCGGGTCGGTGGGACGCCCCTCGGTGGGCAATCTAGATGTACCCAGGGCGCAACGGTTCCACCTAGCGGCCTGTTCGTCTCAGATAGACATACCTGATCGAGCGTGGTGTACCACACGTTAGCGGAATAACGTGCACGGCAGGAAGATCCCTTGGCCTTGCAATGGTTGGGGGACGACCAGCCTTACCGCTTCTTTCTCTTTGGCTGCTTTTGTTGTGCAACACGCGCGGGTGATCGTTTCAGGTACAAGGAAGTGGCGCCAATGGGACTGACGTTCGATCTAGCTAACCTTCTCGCTGTAGTCAGCGAAGTAACCGCAGGCGGGTTGTCCGACATAGCCGGCGTCAAGATCGGAGATCACTTGGTGAGAACCCCCACCTGTTTCAGGCCGACAACAAAGCACGCATGCACGCGGCCGGAGTCGTACAAAGCTGACTCATTGTTAACAACAACTGCAACAATCGTTTGGGAACAAAAAGGCGTTGTTGATGTGTTGAAGGTTTACTCAGATGGCAGGACTCTGTGCTGGGGCAATTCCGGAGAGGTTTGCCGTTCTCAGCGGTAGATGATTATTGCGCAATCAGTCGTCGAGGGATATTATAATACTGATCGGGCGAGACACCTCTGTCCACCACCATGCATCGGTATACCAAAAATATCTCTTGAAGGAGGGAAGGGAGGCACTCAAACGCCGCATCAGGCGAGAGAGACAACCTTCAGCCCACGGAAAAACCAACGCGATCTCATGGTAATATCGGCTGGTCATTTATGTAGGAGGCCCTGCGGACGATACGACCTCCCCTGTTGACCTATGCGTGATTCCTTGGTGTACCCTGTTTGACCCCGTAGTACACCCTCACACAGAAGAGAGCGTCTGCGCAATGATACACCTGCGTATGGCAGGTACGAGTGAACGAGCGAGACACGTCGGAGATGAAACCGACTGCGGCTCTTAAGGTGCGTGCTGACCCCAGCGCTCTGGGCGGCTGTTTTTGAGCACGCCAAAGATATAAACGCATTGACAGTTTCGGGTAGCTGCTACCCACGAGGGCGTTTCTCTTTCTTGTTGGGGTTCCATTTGACGGCAAGAAAAGCATATTCAGCGTGTGCGCTATAGTGTAGTTTTCTTGTAGGTCGACCCTCCATGAAGCCGAAGAGGCCGGGCGTTGCGCAAGTTGCCTTGGGCATGCAGTGGGATAAACCTTGGTCGGAAACCATATGCTGTGGACCCCATTGCAAATATCTTGTCCTGCTGTTGCAACGAGGGCCGTACGCATGAGTGCATGATCTACACTTGACGTACCGAAGAGGTCCACAGGAGAAACAAGGGATCCAGTGGTGCTGGGTTTGGGTGTCAAAGACGCGAAAATGCGCACGTGACGGGTGCCGTGAGAACGTACATCCATCAGTTTAGGCCGGGTTTTTACAGGCGATCTCTTCGCCGTTCGCCAGTTTTCCCCGAACGGTGGACGCGGCCAGGCCTTGCCCCAGGTCTCGAAACTAGTCATCCCAGAATTTGACGCCCGAACTGAGAAACAACACAACAGTCGGGAATACACCCCGCCTCACACGCTTTTCGCCACTCCGTTCCGTTTTGTGGCATCGTGTATTGTCGCGGAAACCGGGAGGCAGGTGTTGCAGCGAGCGGTGTGGCCGAGGGTGCTGACTTTCTCCGTCCCGGGAAGCTTGGTGGCTGAGGGATCGGACGAGCCCTTCCTGCTTGGCCTGGTGGTCACTGAACCAGAGATTGTGCGTCCTGATTTGTATCACGCACGTGTTTTTTCTTTCTCTGCTTCGACTCGAATTGTTTTCAACTCATTGTGCCTCCTGTGATTGTGTTTCCCGCAAGTTCCTGTTATTACATCTCTGCTTCAGCTAGACGTACGTTTCAGGGCATTTTTTCTGTGCTCGTACATGGTTTCTGATCGCCTGGGCTCTTGGCCTACTGCGTCGCGAAGTTCGATGCTCTGGGAAGATGTGTAGTTGGAAGAATCACCATCAAGCCGAGCCTAGACCACGTTCTTACTGCGCCACAATTGTTCGATATTCCACGGAACAGAGACGCCTCGCACTCCCCTCTGTGCCTTCACTCGCTCGTGGAGCCCACCGCGAATGGTAACCAGCCGGATGCCTCGTACATAAGCTTTCGGCCGCCCAGTCACCCCCCCCCCCCGTGCGCGCCTTCCCTCTTCAACTTCAGGTGCGCGGAGAGTACCTGATGCAAGCCCCAAAAGACTGGGGGGGGCTGCGCGGTGCTAGTGAGGAGGATGTAGCACAGCCGTCGTGGTCTTGCGAGCCTCGTTCGATGGCTCTATCCGATCCCCCTCCGGCATGCCAGCGCAATCTCAGGCTGCTGAGCGGGGGAGTTCAGGTGCGCCCGGGGTTAGGGCGCGGCGTAGTGCCGCTCAAGATAATATATTTAGTTGTCGTTACCTGACATTCTTTAACGATTGTCTTCAACATTATTTCAAAGAGTACCAAACTGTTGCGGCGTCGAGACCGATGGTTACGAGAGTACCTACCGTAGCGATTTCGTAGGATAGGTCGTTGGCGGTAGTCACAGCCAACCGGTTCAAGAATACTGTAAGCACTTTCGGGATGAACCGCGAAACGACCCGTGCTTTGAATAGGGCTACCTTTGAGCTTTCGTAAGTGGCTCGGAGCGGAGAAGGAGAATCAGTGCAGATGCGAGCGTGCCCAAAGTCTACACTCGAAACGGACGCCCTCGTAGTTTGTGGCAATACTTCCACTTTCCGGAAATTCTCCCAACCACTGAAATTCCCACCTGCACATATGGGATGGCTCACTAGTCGGACCCCTTGCATGTCTCGCTATGCTAACAACATGGTCTAGCAGCCTTGTCAAGCGTCAAACCCGTGAAATAAATCAAACTCGGTGGTGTGACAATGGTTTCCGTTTTCGGTGTGCCTCTTTCGATAAGGTCGGTGACGGACGAGAACCAGTAATCGCTCTCGTCAAGCGCGGGGTTTGCACCTTCGTGGAGAAGGCCAAGAACGTCCAAGTCGCCGTTCTCAACGCCGTCGCTGACACAGCCGCACCCCCGCAAGACACGACCGCTCTTGCCGGAGAAGACGTAATCACCAGCACCAAGGCTGCAGACTCCGCCGCCGCCGCTGCTGCTGCTACACGCAGCGTCTCTTCGGGGGATAGTGGCAGCGGCGCTGGAGGCGCGAGCGGGGCAGCGGTGGTCGGGGGCGGGATGGTGCTGCTGAACGGAGACGATGCTCTGGCGGACATGCCGGCGGGGAACCTGCTGACCGACGACGTTAACATCCCGGTGGCGATGTGAGTACAACGGCAACGCACCGCCAGGTTTAGGGATAACCTTTGCAAACGAAAGTTGGGGACACCCCGAAGAAGATTAACCGACTGGCGAAGCCAAGCTTACAACGATGCTGTTTCTTTTTCCACCACGGCTCGGCCCCCACGAAACACGTGGAATCTTCTCCGTTTTGGTGGTAGCGAAGATTGGAAGTGTTTACTCTTGAAGAACGTCAGACCAGAGCTCTCCGTCAAGCCTTGCGTTTCTGTCATCCACAACATGTGCGAGATATCAGCCGCACCTTTCCGGAACGAAACGATTTGCTAGGATTTCGCGGGGAAACGGGTCCAGCGTAGAGGCGCTTCTGTCCTGGGGAGTGGAAGTTCGAGCGGCCATCTCTCCCTACGGCGCGTGCCCCCTGCCGTCCCCAACGCCATCGGCAGATGAGCAAGGTGCAGAATTTCGTGATAAGTGTAGCTTCTTCTGTTCGAGTAGTCGGGATAGATTCTGCGGAACTCAATGAATGGTGGAATGGACGTGCTATCCAGCCCTTGTGTCCCGTAAGGGGGCGGGCTGCGGGCACGGAAAATCTTCGTGACAAGTATTCCGTCTTCCCTGAGATGATTCTCCGTTCCGTCGTGGTGAATTCTGCGGAACCCCATATATAGCCGATGGATACCCACGGGATTGACGTGCCGTTCATCTGTTGTGTTCCCTGAGGGGCGCACATTGGGCACGGAAAAGCTGCGGAACCCAGGTTCGTGGTTACTCGTTTGACTCTCGGCGTGAAGCATCCGACGTGGTAAGAGAAAGCGGCTCCCTCTTTGCTGGTCTATCTAGGAGCGAAACCCACCAGCACCGAGCATTCAGCAATGCCAGGACGAGGGGATACCAAGGGATAGGGCGACACACCTATCCAACGCCTTTTGAGGTCAGCAAAAGCTCGTGTTTCGGCCGTTTCGAAAGAACGTGTGACCCCCTAGTCAGATGGGTGGCGGCTAAAACGAATCGTACTGCGCCTTCCTCACCAAATGCAACTCGGCTGAAGGGGCGAAAGCGAGAAAAGACGACGACGACGGCGGGCGGTTTCTTGTGCTGTCCAAAGCTCAGGGCGGGCGGGAGTTCAACTACCGGTTGGCGCGGTACGGCCCCGGAGTCGGGGACGCGGAAGCCTCTCCTGTCGCGATCGCGGTGGCCGATCCGATTGACGGCTGCGAGGACAAGGCTTACAAGGTGAGCAAGGGGTGAATGTCGAGGGCACGAGACGAGCGCTCAGTCAGAGGTACGTCTCAACAAGGAGGAGGTACAGGCCCTCGGTTTGCTGCTGGTGTGCGTTGACTTTACATGACGTTTGTAAATTTAGCAAGGGAGTACAGCACCTCCTTCTCGTGGTGTCGTCAAAGCAGGGGGCACTGTACCTCCCGGGTGACACCTTTCTTGGCCGCTGTACCTCCTTTTTGACACCTGCCTCGGCCGGTACCACGCACGTGCGAGCGGCAGCCTTGCAAGTACTTGTAGCATTGGACAAGCAGTCTTTGTTCAACGTCCGACGATCAAGCACGTGTGGTCGGAAGAACCGCTCTTCTTGTTGTTTGGTTCCGGGCGGAACCGAACGAGCTCCAAGTCTCTCGTCGGCGTGCCCACAAGCAGGTGCGCGTGTCGGGGATGTTCGCGGTGGTGGAGAGGGGGGGCTGCTCCTTCAGCATGAAGACTCTCGCAGCGCAGAGGGCCGGGGCTCTCGGCGTGATCATCGCCAACACGGCGGAGACCACCTTGAGGGTTATGGCGGACCAGGGGGACGGGGAGAAAGCGCTCATTCCCACGGTCATGTAAGCCAAGAGGGCGTTCGTTCTCGTCACGCCTCTGTGAGATTGACTCCACGGGTGTCGCTTGCGTCACGTACGCACGTTGAAACCGTTCTGGGCCCTACCAAAAATCGTTGTAGACTGCACGACACCCCTGTTCCCGCCCTGCGATCCAGAACGCGTATCGCAAAGGAAGCCGAATACGAAGCACCAAGAACAAGTTTTGCCTGCTTCAAGAGTGCACATCACAAGCAAAAAAAGGACCCCACGCGGGCTGTCTTCTCACCCCTACCCAATCACCCCGTACGAAAGCCGCGGTGCGTTTATTCATCGTCGTGGAACCTCCTACCATGCGTACCGAACGCGTCTCGAAAGTTCATTTCCCTGCGGCTTTCTCTAGACTTTCGTTCGGCTTCGTCAACATCCTGCCACCACCGGCACATTACCTCTTCTCGAGTGCCGCCGTTGTTTTTCGTTTGAAAAGCATGACCACAATGGCACGGATACCCCCACCCCACCCCAACCCGCTTTGCGCGTCCACCCCGTTTGCCTCGTGTTCTCTCTATCTCTCTCTCTCACATTTTCTCCGTGCTGCATCATGTCGTCATTGGACAGGGTAAGCGCCACAGCGGGTGGATTCCTTTCCGCCGCGGCGGCCGGGTCGAGTCGCAGCCCAATCTTAGGCCGCTTCACGAGAGAAGCGTTTGAAGCGCGACGCGACTGACTGACAGGTCCTTGTCGCCAGGACCAAACCCACACAAACCAGTTCCCATCCATCGAGGCCCTCGTGTTTGTTTCGAGCAAATGGGATTCACCGCCTTTCCGACGACGTGAAGACTGGTCCGTATTCTAGCTTCTGAAGGGTCAGGGCTTGTCCTCGATGAAATGAGACGTTGTTGATGTCCCATGAGCGACGAAGACGTCTTTGAATTCGTGCTGGAAGAGGTGGCCAGCTACGAGAGCAATGATAATGATCGATGTGTGTGTGTGACGCTTCGGCTCGTAAACTGTTGTGAGCTCCGTGTGGGTAAATCCACGCTTGGCAACGCGGCCAGCGCAGATGTTTTGAACGAGGGTCGGGACGTCAGGTGGTGGTCGGCATCGCTGAAGGAGCCACCTGCTATTGATGGGCAGCGGCAACCTCATCGACGTTCCGGTGCTAGTATTCGCAATCGCAGCGTGGCTCCTTGGAGTGAGTAAATGCTTCATTCCTTTGCCCGGTCTCCCGCAGAGAAGGTTGCCTCACCGGTTGTTCGCAGAAAAATCGTTCATTGGTGATCGGGTCCTTAAAATTCCCCATCCACAACATTTGCTGTCTGCCGCGGGACTCGTCGGGACCAGGCCGGGTAGTTATATGGAGGTGTCACGCTTTCAATTTAGAATCGAGTCCAGGAGTTGCTCTCAGAACCGATACGCTGTAGAACCAGGGCATCGAACCAGTGTCCTAGTCTACGCCAAAAGCGAAGCTGTGCCGATTGCGTTAGCTGAGTGCCTTGAGTAGTTGGGCCCTTATGCCTAATCACTCAAGTTGCACCGCGGAGGTCGGATGCCAGTCAGACAGGCAGAACGGGGAGTTGCTCTGATTGTTATCCAACTCTTGATCATTTCTCGGTGGATCTCAAGAAATCACATATCCATCCCGGATCCCAACAACCCCAATTCTGGTCCTTATTCTGTCACCCCAGCAGGTGGAAAGCTCCCATCAACACCTCTGCCACACAACAACGGGCGACGGCTTCTGTCGTCGCCTCCCCCCCCCCCGACCCCCTCCAGAAAATACCCGCGTGACCTCTGTCACTGCCTTCTCCCTTTGGAAACCCGCCCCGGAAGCCAGCTCCTGGTGGTAATTTCCTGTTTAGGGCTGATGAATTACATCTAGGTACAGGAAATGGTGAGCCCAAACCCTCGTAGTAGCACCCCGTCTCTATCTCGAAGTACTCGCCCCGAACCTCGCATGGAGCCAAGACACCTTAACTTGTTGTACTTGCGGGGCTGGTGAAACAATGCGTCCTTCTTCCAGGGATGTGTGGCTGTCGACGCAAGGAACATCGTTATTCCGTGTTATGGCCTTAACAGGTCGATGAGCCCGCGTTACCACAGTACCAACCGCCACGTCGTGATGGAGTGGGCCTCTATTGGTTTTTGCAAACCTTCACAGAGCCAACGGTCTCTTACACAACACACCGTGCGCGCCAACGTGTAAGCCTGGTGCCGTCTCGATGCCCAGGCAGCGCTCGATGCCCAGGCAGCGCTCGGCATCAGGCACGCGAGGGTATTCTCAGATGATGTATGTAGCCTCCTGCAGCCAGCCTTCCTTGTAGGGTGTGCGCTCGTGAGCACTCGTGAAATGCCCCCACGAACAATCCCCTGACGTACGGGAAGGAAATCAATACTATTATACCGCCTAGCCGTACGCTAAGGCCCCTTCACCGATACACCGTGTGCGGGGGACTGGCAGTGGGGGATAAATACTACCGGTACAACGACGAGCTCGGGTACGCCGAACAAAACACATTTGTTTCTGGGCGCGTTCGAAAGTTCTCTGTCCCCCCCTTCCCCTACCTACCCAACCTATCTCGAAAAACATCGCCCTTGCCTCCTGCAAACATCCTGACGGTACTCGTGTGTGTTGTGTGAAAAATCTTGATGCGTGTGTGCTGGGGCGACGTTGCTATGCAATACTACCAAAATATCCTGCAGCCACTATCATGGCGCTTTACTACCCTCTACGCGCCCCTCCAGCCGCCCGTGTCTGTTGGGAAAACGCCCCCCCCCCTTGAGATTTACTGCCCTTTCATGAAACCGCTGGCTAGGAATAAGCACGATACGGACCGCTTCGAATATTCGATATCGCGTTGTGTGTATAACATCCTACATACTGTTGGGTCTTCACCACCTCCACCACCATCACTACCGCGACCGCCACCACCATCACTACCGCGACCGCCACTATCACTACCATCGCCAGGAATGGCAGCAGCGGCGAGCGCACAACGTACGGCGCGCACAGCAACATGTACCGCGTGTGGGCGGCCTGCTCTCTCCCCTGCCGTAGCTGCTTCTAGAACCCGGAGTTGCCCACCAGCGGCGTGGGAGAGTGTGGCGTGGGCAGGTTGTTGTCGGCGGTGTCGTTCAGGCGCGCCTTACCCCCGTCGAAGTCTCCCGCCGGCCCGCGGGGACGCTTGCGCATGGAAGGGCCGTAGCACCCCTGAGGAAGGGAAAGGAAGGTGTTCCGGC